GGCTGCAAGAAAACCTTAAATCGAAGGCTCAGAATTGCGTTGTGAAACATGCCAACCTCTTGAAAGATTCTGTGAATGGCTCTTCGTTAAGTAGAACCCAAGGATATTTATACTTGTGGTTGAACCGATCTTCCATTTGCCGAATACTATCAACGACTCCCTCCAGATCGCTATTCCGGGCGAGGAAGACGAACGTGGCATTCGCTCGACGTTCCGATGGTTTTTGAACGGTGACGTCAGGGGTTTCTGCAGACACAGCAGCGAGGGTACTATTCTGGTCGTGAAGGACGGTCGTATTTTGAACGAGCTGAATATGCCCCTTGAGCGAACTTAACGACGACATGTGGCCATAGCCCTCATGGGAGATGCTCAGAATGAAATGTAATGAGACCTGTCGAGATATGAGCGTAGAGAAGTCATTGAAGGTGAGCCGTACGCACCACTATGGCCACTGCAGCGTATATGTAACGCCTCGATGTCATCGATGAGAAGGGCATGTTGCCTCTATGATATAGAATGAAAACAAAAGGTCGCTATCAAAGCTTTTCCCGCTGTTTTGCTGAAAAGCGCTGGCGCCGCAGTGATGTGGCAACCCAGGCTAGCCTGAGGCTGTGGTACGAAAGGGAAAGGGAGGAAGGCAGAGAAGTATGGCGCCCGTTGCACAGACATCATCTTATTATGCAATGTCCCCATTTAGCTTCCGAACATGTTGCAGGATTGTGGTGGAGCTGAGTGCGATGCGGCCGAGGTTTGGATTCCTAAAATAGACATCCGCAACTTTTTGAAGGATCTGCGTATCAGCGATAGATAATAATATCGTTGCTAGCAAGCAGAATTGTCTCGTCCTTCTGTCATTCTTGTGGTGCTATTTTGTGACTACTTGGGGTTACCATTTCACAAAAGCGTATTATGTGATGCATATTGTGAGATATAATGAGTACGAAATGCGAGACAGCGTCCGTGCCTGCGAGCAGTCGCAGATGATCCAAGTTCAAACCGTTGGCTTTATTCGGTAACATAGATGAGTTGGCATTTGAAGTGTAACTCTGGCGGCAGCCACACTCCGCAGCACGTCATGGGAGTAATACCACAGCCAAGGGACGGTGCAAATGGGCCGGGTAGCAGTATATCGATCTGTCAGGAATTGATCAATGTGAACTGGTCAAATGTGCATATTCTTCAAATGGTGGAATGGTATAACTACTGTGTCAGTCTGGGCGATCAAGTCATGGTATCGCGAGATCATAAAAGGTCGAACTAGGCAAAACACCTTTTCCCATCGGAATCGAGCCAACGGTTGAGTGATTGAAGACAGATAGACACCTCGACCAGACCAGATGCACCGATGGTCGAGCATTTGGCAGAGGGTCCTGAGGCTGGAGGACACGTCGCGGAAAGTCGCGACCCCTTGGTTTGTCCTTATTTGGTGGGGGGCTAATTGAATTTTTTTGGTCGTCAACAACTTCAAGTCGGTACTGCTTGCTGCTCTTTCATGACGCCCCCTTCCTTCTCCGACAAAGATGGCTTGGTTGATTTGCAAGTACCTACACCATCAGAACAACCCTCGTCAAAATCGGCCTATCTCAATGCCATCTCGCCATTGACTAATGCTTGGAACCGATACTCAGAATGGCGGACAAGCTTTGACTTGCCCAATCCTGGTTCCACAGAAAATCTGCAGAAGGAGGTAAAAGGTGAGTTTTCATATATCTACGAGAGTATGACGCGATTCTGATATCATGCCGTGCAGCAACACTTGCGACAAACTTCTTGTTCGAAGGCGGTAGGGCCGACCTCACCAAAAACCTGTCTGCAAACCCTGCATTTCAAGTGACGCATTCTTTTGCCCTTGGATCGCAAGCGAACCCCTCTTCATATAATTTTGCGGCAATATTTGCCAACGAAAATGTGCGTCGACAGTGACGTGCACCATGTCGCAATGCTAACGTTATAACGTTACGTGGTCCATCGCGTAGGTATTTATGCAAGGGGGTTTTGACCACGATGGGAATGTGAATGGACGTATGAACCAAGGATGGACGGCCAACAGTGTGACAAAACTCCAGGGGCAGGTAAACTCTTTACTTCAATCAGCTTTCTGTCCACAGCTCATATCGTCTCACAGTTTTCGACACAAGTGGGCCATAACATGCTCCAAATTGAACACGATTACCAGGGCACAGACTATAACCTCAACGCGAAAGCTCTCAATATCTGGCCCGCCGATCTTACAGGCGTCTACATTGGCAGCTACTTGCAGTCATTTACGAAAAATCTAGCCCTTGGCGTCGAAGGGTTCTATCATAGACAAGCTCCAGATTTGACGGAGCTCTCTACCTCTTACCTTGCAAAGTACACCGGTGACAACAAAGACTGGATCGCAACCGCACAGCTGCAGCCCTCGGGAATATTGCAGTCGACGTACTGGCAGAAACTTAGTGAGAAGGTGGAGGTAGCAGCGGAGCTGCAGGTGATTGCTACACCTATGCGTAGGGATGCAATTGCGACACTGGGAGCCAAATACGATCTGCGTATGTCGACGTTCAGGGCACAAGTGGATTCCACAGGCAAAGTTTCTGCGTTGCTTGAGCAGCGGTTTGCACCGTCATTGGCTTTCTTACTGTCAGGGGAGATTGACCACTTCAAGGTATGTGTAGCCACTCTTCGATTCGACGATTCCTCATGCTGTCTCTTCCAGAATACAGCTAAAGTCGGAGCGGGCGTAATGATCGAGAGCTCGAGTTTGACACCCGAGGAGATGGGATTGCCGCCACAGCCATAGTTGATTCTTATATATAATATCTACTAGAATCTTATTATCTGGACACTGCAGATGTCTCCACTCTCCATATTGTGCATTCGATACTTGCAATTATTTTCTGTGTTATCTATCACGTGGGAATATATCGAAGATTGTAGTACAATCCGATTAGTCGAAGCTAAGGGTGTTGTTCCACTTCACCATGGTACCGCTCTTGGAAATCCGCGACCTCGCGTGTCTGAGAGACCAGGGGTCACCCGTATTCTCCGATCTGAATTTTATCGTCAACGAGGGAGATATTGTTGTTATCCAGGGTAAGAGCGGGTCCGGGTAGGATAAATCGCTCGCCTGCCACCATCACGCCCTACTTACCCTAGACAGGAAGACGACGTTGTTGAAATGCCTGTCTCATCTAAATGTATATAATGGCCAGGTGCTGTACAGGGGAAGGTGAGTGTCTTCCAACATATGTGAATGAGTGCTAAATTCCGTCATAAGAACTCCCAAGTCTTACGGTACGCCACTTCCTGGATGATCCCAACCACGCTAATATAAGCTGAAAGGCATTCCTACGTATCGAACCCGCGTGCTTTATCTGCCTCAGAGGCCATCTCTGCTTCCCGGAACACCTCGTGATTTCCTAACCGTCATATCGTCTTTCGGCTCCCGCAAAAAGTCCGCCAAGCCCAAATTCAATGAAAATGTATCCGCCGCAGACATAGACCATCCTATCGAGGTCGCCAAGTCATGGGACATTGAAGAAGAGCTCTGGGATAGAGATTGGTCTAACTTGAGCGGAGGGGAAGCGCAGAGAGTGGCGATGTCGATAGCTGTCGGTTTAAATGCAGCTGAGGTTCTCTTATTAGACGGTACGTTCTACGATATTTCGTCCTGCATATAGTTGATCCTCGTACGCAGAACCTACGTCTGCTCTTGATCCTGAATCATCAGCGGCTGTTGAAAAAGTCCTTGCGTCAGAACTGAGAGCAAGCGAATCTACGCTGAAGGCCATTGTATGGATCACGCATTCGGAAGAGCAAGGACAGAGGGTCGGAACCAGGCACCTATATCTAGCTGATGGCAGCTGTAAAGAGATATCTCAACCTCATGTTTAAGTTTAAGACTAAGAGGGTGTGTTTTAGTTTAAATTTGTATCACCTGAAACTTGCCCTCACCATTCAATCTACAGCTGGCCTTGGACTGTCGATTTGTAATAAATTACGGATTACGTGTCTTTGTTATTAATGGATCTACTGTCGATGGCACGCGAGCGCGACACAGCACCGCAAGCATGCATACGCAATTCACTTACTCGTTTGACCCTTCCTTGCCACCTTATTGTGTGAGTCGGGTAGCTACCACCATCTATCGATAAGCAGACACTGCGTGTCTATAGATAACTCGTGCACGCGTGGCAGGGAAATTCTACGCGCCAGGTGAGTTGATGCCATGTACTCGAGATATTCAACGTCTATGCTCTCCCAGCTAGTCCAAATATACATGAAGGTAACGGGCTGATCCATCCATACACTGTCACTGTCAGAGCCGGCGAGAATGCGTCGAAAGTGGAAAAACCGACCATCGTCTTCCAGATGCTGTCTATAATAGCTTCTGATGCTGTGAAACACCGATTGTAAATGAAATTATGAAGCCTCTATGTAGCGACGTCTCAACTTTATCTTGTTATGATCCCCGACTCTCTCCGGAGAGGAGGGTTCTGTCAAATCGAAAAGTGAAAGACGCCAGCCAACTTCGAGCCCGACTTTTCCCGAGCGGTTTTCTAAATAAGGGCTCATGTTCTCATGCCCTTCACAGCAGACATGCTGGAAAGGATCTTAATATAACATCACCGCATATCCGTCACATATTTAAAATAATGGCATTATTTAAAATATATGTGACATTTTTCGAATATGTGGCGTGGTTATATTCGGGTGTGTCTGCTGTGCTTCACTATTTTTGGGAAAAGTTGCTCTGGATAAGAACACAAAGGCCTGCTTTGCTCAGACAAAAAAAATTATATAGAACCTCTCATATGTATATAATGAGTTGTGCATAAATCAAAAGGCATGGAGTGGAGCAAATAATGGTGTTGAGTTATGATAATTGTGTAAACCTATATAACAGCATGCCCAAAGCACCAAAACATATATTTTATACAACTGTTCTTTTTTCATAAAGCCAGAGGGGATTGGTGCTCTGCACCATTATATCTACTTCCAAATTTAAAGAATTTGAGAATCCCTTAGCTCAGTGGTAGAGCATTGTACTTATGTGGATACCTTCCCCACGCGCTATAGTTTATGCAGTGGTCCCGAGTTCGAACCTCGGAGGGATTATTTTGTGCATTTCTCGCCGTTAGCATTTCAAGCATACCTACTACCTGACATGTATATATATTTTTCCAATGATTAGATACCCGTAATTTTTGCGCTATGTAACAGATGGTATGTAGTGATGCGTAGAACTATGTGAATGCAGAGGCGATTATGGAAATTAAGTCTTAACTATTCTCTTTTCTTGATCCTAGTCCTCCCAGACATTGACCGTCTCCGCCTGGTTCGTCATGACAGCGACGTCTTTGCGAATAGGATTTACACGAGGGTATACAAACTGTCACATGAACATGTCAGTAAAGTGAAAACGCCGAATGAGATAAGAAATATACCCCTTCGTTATACTCGTGCATAACTTCGGCGGCGATGATTTCTTTGTCTTTGACGAGGGCTTCGTATGATCGTGTCAGGACGCGCATCTAAAAGGCAGCGTCAGTTCTCATTCGGCATATTTATTATAATTCACAGACCTGCACACCAACACCCGACATAATCAGCAACATAAACATCCAGTTCGCTGACGTAGTCGCCATCCAAAGTAGCGGATGTACAGGGGAATATATACAGAACAATGTCATCTCCAGTTCTCCAGGGATCCACACCTCAAGTTGCTGTACTTTTGACATTGTCGGCCCTCCGCCGTATTTAGTGGAGGGTGGATTCATATTGAGAAGGAAGCGCCAGGATGCACAGAATGTGTACCAAGCACCAGATGAGATACGTGATATGAGTGATGGTGGCTGGAGAGGTTCATAGTCGAGATCCGCCGAGACAAATTTGGCGTTTGGGGAGGAAACTGGATCAGGACGACGGTGAAGGCGATAAAGCCTAAGGCGGCTGAACAGGTAGAAGGCATTGAGGACAGACGCTGCAATCAGAAGAAGAGTCATGGGCGTAGTCTGCACAAATACAATTACATGTCATCCGTTGTTCGAAGAAAGGTTAGAGCAAGAAAATGGCGTACCCAGTCAAACCACGAGGAGCCCTCGTGTTCCCGGTACATATCTTCCCACCCAAGATCTGAGTCTGGAACTTTCTCTACTTGATTTATTCTTAACAAGAAGTGCAAGAAATGCATACCCCCGCCCAATAACCAGGCAGAGGTTTGGGGTGCAGGCAAAGGAATATTATGTGGAAACATTCCAATTTCAAACGCTATTTGCGACGGTATCGAGGATATTCTAAAACAACAAAAAAGATGAGTACAAAGTGCAACTGGGTACAACGCTCTCACCTTTCAACGATGCCCCTTTTACGTACAATTGCTTTCCTAGGAGTACCTCCAGGACCACCCACACTCTTCCGCCCCAATTTGCGTTTTCCTTGAAGCGGCGTCCCGTAAGGGGCTGGTTTCATAGATCTTGCAGCTTCCCAATCAAATGGAGTCGATGAAGATATCGATGGCGTCGCTGAAGGCGACTGGACATATGAAATACGATTGCGTGGTGTCGATGGTAAACCACGACCGGGCGTTACTGGAGACGACGGGCCTGAAGCTGAGGCTGAAGCTGATCGTGGGGTGCTATCTCGAGGAGATCCGCTTGCAGAGGCTGCATTGTTAGCCTGAGCCAAACGACGGAGGGCCATGATGAAGGTTGTTGATCAGAAGGTGAAAACACATAATAACCGTAACGCGTCAGTCACGATACAGGAGTCACGCGTCGGATAAAAGGCTCCGTTGCTCCGGTCTTTCCAGTTGAACCAGGCTCAGGACCAAGTACTTAGGGAACGGCATAGGCGATGTGTTCGATGGAGCTTACAGGTCAAGCCATGCATCTGGGGCACAATCTCAGGCAGCACAATCCTCGCTAGCGAATGTTCTCGATTTTATCGCCTCTCCGAGTCATACCTGCTATAGCTAATTGCACTTCTTGGTGTCAGTATCGCGAACGATGGAGTGCCATTTCTTATACGCGAAGCACATCGCCGAAGTCTCGATGTAGTCAGTGGATTGTGATGATCTTCGTCGCATTGCCATCGACCATTTTCTACCTCGCCCGTACTACGGCCGGTTGGCGGTTCCCTATTTTTGCCACCCGTTCTTTGGCCGCTAAATGATTGAACTCTCTCTCTAAGTTCATCCTGCCGGTCCTCCAAACCTCGTCTTTCACGGTAGCTGGATACGAAGTCATCGGTCCTTGATTCATCCCTCTCGGAGACGCCGTTCGCGATCGCAGCTAGATGCTGGAGCCATATATTAGGACACCACTGAATTGTGAATTACAAAGACTTATGCCTGACGGGCAGTGATGAATGATTCTTTTCTGCAGCGTAAGCATCTTCACTCGGACTGCGCAGGTTATGAGACTTTCAAAGGCATGTTTTACATAAATTCCCTTTGTATCTCGCCGCGTTTATATGGATCTCGTCGCGTAGATATCTGGACTTTAATGTCTCTGATTAATTCTTCTGACCTTCGCAGTCCCGTGCGAATATAATTTGGACTATCCCTATTTGACGTATCAATCAAAAAATCAAAACCACAACGGCGTTCCTTTGGTTGGTATTTTCAAACCATTTCTTTGACGAAAGTACTTTACATGCCTGTTCTGTTTTTTTTTGTTTTCTTGTCTCGCAGCATCACCTTTTCTCTAACGTCAAGCGGTCCGTTATACTTTTTGAACCACAACACCTGCCAAATCCGTCTCCGGGTCAGGGCCGCACAACTCCCATCTGTCATTCACTATGCTCCCGAGTTCCCGAGCCGCTGTGCATATACAGAGGCTTTCCCACTAACCACAACCATGGTATTCTGTTCTCAGTGTGGTACCCAGGGCGAAGGCCGTTTCTGCGCTCAGTGTGGTACACCGCTTGCGGTCCTCTCCCAGGCGTCTTCCACTACCGCTAACGCCCCTCCAAATACACCTGGTATAAATCTGGGTGCTTCCCAACAGCCATCTGAGCCACCACCACCTCCACAGCTGCAGGAGTCATTCACTGCTCTCATCGGCTCACAGGGCCAGTTGATGCCAGCCTTCCACCATATCGCTTCTGAACTTTTCACGGCACTCGATCAGACGATCGAGCCAAAGGGCACCAAAGGGATAGAAGCCAGTAAGATGACCGCATTTAGAAGGATGGCCGGGAAAAGTATTCCCCCGTACTACGAATCCCATGTACTTCCTATGTATTGTAAGTACGTTCCATGGTTCACATACGATGCCTCAGTATTAACAATCAGCTGCAGATGATGCAATCGCCGCTGAAACGGTGCCAGGCACGCCGAATCGTAACATTCTAACATGGAATGGCTGGCATGCCATCCTTCATCATAAGATCCTCGCGTTACCCTCAGACACTTACACACACCTCTTCACTGCTATACAAGTGTTGGGTATCAAACTTCCCCAACCATTCACGCGTGGTGATCTTCCGCTTCATCCACATCCGGAGGCTGCAGCGCGTGAGCAGCGATTTCAACAAGATATTCGTGCTCTCGCCAGCACTGCGATGCGGGCGAGAACTTCACAAGTGAATGCGATGGCGGGTCTCATGAGGCAAGGCGCCCAGAATATACAGATGGCATCAATGCCAGCAGGAAGTTTTTATTACAGATGAGTGGATAGCATGACGGATCGAGCAGTTTGCAGCCGGCAATTTGACAGATGAGCGTCGTGGTACTTTGGGCTGTTAATTTCACTGCGATTATTGATGATGGAGCACCATCTCTGATCATGGTTCTGCTAACGGGCATTTTATTGAGAGTGTGGTCTTGTGATATTGATATCAAGATAGTGTGTCCCTAATATGCTGCAGACTTTCGTCCGCGATATCGTGGCGCAGTCGATCCAGCAAGCAGCACATGTACAGGCATGTCAAATGAATTGATCAATATATGTAGCGCTATATGGCAAATGTTGGACCCCACTTTTTACTTATCTTGATGCGGGACCACTAGATGTTATGTATCGTGAAAGCTGCACGAGCCAGATGATATTAATATATAAAATACGAAGACACAAGTGCTCATTTTCATTTATTCTATGGCATCAAACGGATTTCCAGCCCCTCCCCCGCGAATTCGTGAAGTCGCGAAAATTCTAGTTTATGAAATGTGTCTGCAACGCAGCGTACTTCTACGGTATCAATCTGGCTGACCATGCTTTCCGACCTGCTGCCAGATGTCGCCGTGGCGGTTTCGTCTAGTCTCCACCGCGACTCGACCATGTCTACGAAAGCTTGGTCATCGAACTCGGATCCACGGTTACACCTGAGGATACGCAGCTTGGGCACCAAGCAGGGTGACTGCTGACTACTGGATGCTCGGTTTGTTAGTTGGGCTATAGTGATGGGGCCTATTGTGTCTATATCGAGCTCGACAAGATCTGGCGTCATTCTCAGTATTTCGGGGTGGTTGTCTCCCCTTGTTGCAGAACTCTTGCTGGTAAATTTACGAAGGGAGCACGAGGATCGTGACAGTAAAGAGATGATCTCCTGACCGCAGTCGCCTATTTTGTGGTACTCGAAGGTACGGAGGGCAGATAACAATAGGTGGTCGAAAAAGTAGGCGGAAAACTGCCCAGACGTTACCAGCTTTTCGAGTCGGGATAGCTGAAGGACGGGTCTTCTTTCCAATGCAAGACGCCCTGCGTCCATTGAATGGACGTCACAGGTCACGAGATTGGGCAAGTCCGATAGCACATCTAGACAATTATCAACGCTGCAATTGCTGACCTTTAAGTCAGTCAACTGACACCAAGGAATTCGAATTCCAAATGGGTAGTTTCGGAAGTCCAAATCGACGACATGTAGTTTGGGAGCTGATTCGAATATTGTGACTGGCAATGACTCTGTTCTGGACAGCCCAAATATAAAACTAAATTGAAGATCTAGAGTTTCCAAGCGCGGGACTGGGCCAATGGCGGCAGCAAAGTCCTTTAGTGCCGAAGGTATTATCGTAATGAAGAGATGTTGCCAACGGTGGCTGGGTGGCAAGGTGTGGTTGACGAATGATCGTATGTTTAGGGATCGGCTTGCCCAGTATATATGAAGTGTTAGAGGGC